GTTACCTGAACTTTGTTTGCATGTTAACACGGTACAAAGTTTACATGTAAATTATGTACAACGCCCACCATTTTCAAAGAGGCATGGGAGCTAAATTTTCTTTTTAACTCCTAAAGTCTCCAAAAAGCCAAAGAACGCGACTTCCGCGCTCCACGGTCACGGAATGTCTCATTTTGCTTCAACTAACTTGTCGCTCATATGACCTAGGCAGTTGCGAGCGTCGTAAAAACCTTACTAAAACTGAATCTAGCGGCGAGCAAGCTTCCGATCGTCTGTCTATCCTTAATTTTTGTCGACTGGACTCTGTTGTGTGTTGTTTTCGTTCCATATATTATGTAAAAATAATATATTACGTTATTGACGGTGCAAATGAACCCCCTTTTCGAGCTGGTGTGGGGCTTGATTTGCTGGGTAGTAAATTTTTTTTCCAGGTAGTAAATTTTATTTTTTCATGAAATATTGCTGGACACCCTGACTAGACAACACACTAACCGAAAGACACACAAATACACTAGACAACACACGAACCGAAAGACACACAAACACACTGACCAAAATAGGCTACACACAAAATCAAAAACACTTGACCCCAGAATATTGTTTTCAATTTTATTAATACATCATTTTAAAACATTTCAATAACAAGAGTAATAAGTACATTCAAATTGTGTGAATTGGGACAACAATAAAATAAGATTGAGAACACACCAGTCTTTTTACCTTGAATTATAACAACTTGAGTTTGGTAGTAAGCCTACCAATTTGTGTAATAACACATAAACTGAGGGGAGGAAGGGTGGGGGTGTTGGTAGTTTCAGAGGAAGAGGTGCTGCTAGAAGCAGATCAGCTTAGTATAGGTCTTCACTGTGCTCATGCAAACATTAGAGTAGAGCTCAAACAAGGTACTACTGTACTTCATGTGATGTGGCTTTGTGTATTGACAGCTCTTTCAAATTTGATCACACGAAATTGGATTATGTCGCTGCTTGTCAGGCTTTGACCCCAAAATGTATTTCCCAAGAGTACATGTATGGATTATTTGACACTTATTGGAAAGTCAAAGTTTTCTACAACCTATGTAAACACTCAAACAACAAAGCACTGTACAAAAACAGATGTCTTTTGACCTAAAAACCATGACATCACATTACTCATTACCCGAATTGAATTTAATTTGAAATACATAAAGCCCATTCACATATCTTCTAATTGCCCCGCAAAATCTTTCATGATTAGGTTTACTACAAGCTGAGAAATAATTTTTTTACAGTCGCAATAACACCCGTGTGCACTTGAGACCAGGTTTTATGCACAGAGCTACGGGAAATGGTTTAAACTAATTTGAACTTCATTCAAAGAAGATTTCTCCAGTAGTTCCTGCACAGAAAAGAAAGCTACAGCCAAAATCGAAAGTACATGTGACTAGTTTACTTCTGTTTACTTTTTGTCACAGCTGATGGAAAAGGGCAGTGAATTTAAACTTTTGGAACCTCTTTGACATGTTTTAAGAGGAAGATGATAATGACAGTGAAGGTGATGATATTATTCCTGAGGCTCATTCTGTCTTCAGGGGAGAAGTAGGTCATCGGGAACCATTGGTTCAAACTGCCGGGGATCGAGATATTGTTCTAGATCTACAAAATAACAGGGTTCGCGAAACTTCTGCTCCTAATGTAGAGCATTTTGTTGGCATACATGGACTCTTAGATTAGCGGATCTTCCTGAGAATCCCCAGCCCACAGATTTCTTCCAGCTGTTTGTAAATGATATTTTTGAAAAGCGGGTTGATCAAACCAATGATTATGCAGCAAGCTAGTGGGACATTACTTATGAACTACCCGAGCATTTGCAGCTCAAAAGTCTGGGAAGACGTAACCCTGGATGAAATGAGATTTTTAGCTCTTCTCATGGCCACTGGTTTAGTTTAAAAACCTGACATTTCAAAGTAGTGAAGTACAAATGAAATTATTTCTACTTCACTTTTTTGGAGAAAAAAATATGTCTCTGAGGTGTTTTCAAAATATTCTGTGGAATTTACACACATCGCTAACAACAGTGCTGATGACGGATCAGACCCCTTGTTCAAGTTCAGGAATTTTTTTCATTCACCTGAAACACACTTCTACAGGTGTTTATGCACCATCTCAAAACATCAGTTTTGATGAGGCAACATGCTCCTGGAAAGGGAGACTTAGTAGATTTAAAGTGTACAATATAGCCCGGCCAAACCTTCAAAATTTGGAATTAAGATTTATGAGGCATGTTAGTTTATACACAGGCAATGATACTATGGACTTATACCACGAGTTGGTGGATTTACCAGAGGACTGTGGGGTCACAACAAAGAATGTGGTAGGGTTTCTGGCTTACGGTGGCTTATTGAAGAAGGGCCACCACATTTACTTGGATAATTATTATGAGAGCCGAGAACTTTTAGACAAACCGTACCTCCGCGGCACTGGAGCATGTGGGACCCTCAGAACAAATAGGACAGAAGTCCCAGAAGCCATGAATGCTTCTATTAAATCAGGCTTAGACAAGGTGAATCAGTATTTCATCAACAGGATAATCTACTAAATGGCTTTTTTTGGGTTACAACAAAGGGCTGCTAATTGGAATGTTGCTTCCCCTTATCTCTGTTAGCTCAATTGATCAAAGCACCCCCCCCACCCCCTTAAAAAAGAGTCAACACCCCCCTCCCCAAATCTTTGAAAGCATTTTTCAAATACATAAATAAATGAAGTAGTATACGACAAGCTAAGAAGACCCAGGGTGACAAGGAACCCTTCACTGCCATTTTCACCATACAAGACTACCATCACAAACCAAAGTTAGCCTGGGTCATTTCCTCCTTGAACCTAACAAATGTCAGCTCATGTCAATCTCAAGAAACGTCAGCTCATTTCAATAAATCTCAAGGAACATCAGCTTATGTAAGTCAATTTAAAAAATCCTCCTAGTCATACATCAGCTCATGTAAAACAAATTTCAGCTCGTGTCAATCTCAACAAACATCAGTTCATGTCAATAAACCTCACTATTAAAAACTCCCCTAAGCTGCGTGCAAGATTCAGACTAGCATCATTGTGTTTCAAAACAAAAGTAATCATAACTTGCAAACATTTCCACAAGTATACTGTTAATAACAAAGGCCAAAGTCGACATTTTGGCACCACAGGCCAACCACTTCTGATACAAGTTTTTAGGACTTCCACACCAAAACCTCAAGTAAAACTTTCTTAGTCACATCAAATACCTGCACATCTTTGATTCTGGGATGGAAAGGTGAAAATTTCAATGCAAAAATATAATCCGAGAGAAGGAATCAATTCAGTTTGCACGGATCAAACATGTAGGCTACTACTACGAAGTACAAATATAACAATTTTTCATTTTCATCTTTTTGTACTGTCACATTCTGCTTTCCACTGACAGTAATCTCCACGCTCGTCTCTACTTTTCAGTCCATCTCCTCTCAACCTAAAACTAGAAGGAAAGAATGGGTGGTGTCCTCCCAATCTCTTCAGTCCACGAATGAATGAATGATGTCTTTCCACTCTCCTCAATCCACGAACGAATGTGTCATGACACAGTGAAATCAGGCACTCATCAGTTTTACGGCACGTGGAGTTAATGGTACCATCTTAAAGCTTGTTCTTTTGTCTTGCTTTCAATGAAAAAAGACCCCCACTCATTTACCTTGAAAAGAAATCAATATATTTGCAATTGAAAGAGGTGGAGGTAGCCTGGTTTCAGATGTAAAATTAGCCAAAAAATGGCTGTCAAAGTTTGGTAATTTCCATGGCTTGAGAGTCCTTGGAAACAGCAAATTTACATTTTCTTGTGCCTTTAATCAACATTTTTCAGTAAAATCCACACATAAATGTGTTTTCTATGGACATAGTGTTAATCTATTAACCAATTTTTTTTTTAAATTGCAGAATGACAGGAAAAAATGACGATTTCTTCGATTTCATTATTTTGACGAGTGCCTGATTTCACCCCAATGCCTCACAAACGAAAGAATGAATAGTTTCCTTTCCCCCTCACAGGGCCATGAAAGAACGAATGTTGTTCTTCCATTCTCTCCAATCCAAAAAGGAATGAATGGTATTCTTTCACCACTCTCTTCCCTCCATGAACGAATAAATAGATGGTGTCTTTCCACTCTCTTCAATCCATCTCCTGCCTACCTTGAATGAAGTTCTTGGACTTGTTTCACAGACAATCTGGACAGGCCCCTGTGGGAGAAAAAGAAACCCAGTGACATTTGTGTTTTTGACTTGATATGTTGAGGAATTGAGGGAAGAGAAGCCCATCGAAACCACAACGATCAGGTAATACAGGGAAAAAATAGATATAAACAACAGAAGGGAAAGAAATGGAATAGGACTTACCAGTAGCACCTTCCAACTTACATTAGTCAGCAGTCACCAGTACATGATTTAAAAAAACAAACCATTAAGCATTAAAGAGGGACTGTTCCCATTTGAGAAAATGCCGAGATTTCCCCTCTGTAGATTCTATAGTCATCATACCATGAGCAAATACGTATTAGAACAGACATCTAACTTCCCAAACAAATTCTGGCTTGTCAACTTTTTCAAATGCCGATCAGGGACACCCAACGTTATATCAGATTCTGTGACAACAACCTGGCCCCGCGGAAAATTGCATTTTTAAAATAGAAAAATTGCAAAAAATTGCAAGGTAAACTGCTTAAACATTGCAACCTTCCCACCCCAGGCGCATAAAAATGGGCTTAAAATTTTCAGTTTAAAAAACATGACAATCTGAGCAGCATAAAAGCAGAACAGCATTTTAACAAATCATGATGCACAATAAAATTTTTATTAACAACGTTTACTAGTAACAACAGACAAGTACGTTAATAAGTTATCGACCAAACATAATATAATACCGCATGAAACAAAAAAGGGAACCCTCAGTTTTCGTAATCCCTTTTAAACGAATGCATAAAATTTGACCAACTTTAGTACATACTGGGTAGCCTACTTGGTTCATGGAAAGATCTAGAAGTGTTAGAATTTTCATGATGTTTAGTCAAAAAATTATTTCTATAGCGCCCACTCGCGTGTAAGCACAGCTCTTGCGTTTTGCAACACAATATTGCTCCACTGACAATACTTCAGTCTCTTGTCTGCTGACACAAATGTACTGTTTGGAAATAGCCCAAGATGATCGGTCACTGTCATTTTCGTGTCTGTCTTTGACTTTGATGGGGTTACAAATTTGTCCATGGCTGGATCTAGATCTATGCCTCAGTGTCAGAACTACTTTTGTGGCACTTGCCGTGTCTTTGTAGAGTCATGTTGTATTCCGGCCTGAATTTCCGGTTATAGCTTTAAGAGTACGGCCAAAGATCATACATAACAAGATAGTTCACTCCTCACTTTGAGCCAATTAAAAAAGTGTCCTCAAAATCCGGTGGCGCCCTCTTTGAAAAAGTGCAGACTTTGTGAACAGAGTTACCCTACATGTGTGAAAAGCAATAAAAGCGAAACTAACAAACTTTGCTATTCCTATTCTTCTTCTAGACAAACGAAAGAGAGCTTCAAAACAAAGACTGCAGCGCCATCTGAACCAATGCATGGACTTCTGTGAACACTTTTGGCCGAGTGAACTATCTTGTTATGAACGATCTTTGGTACAGCCCAGTAGGCTAGAGCTGGGCCGATACCACGATTCACGTATCGACTCCGTACTCGCACCATTTCCTATTAAAAATTCTGTTAAAATTAAACAGTTGATGTATGTCCGGCTAAATTTGCAAGAAATTGCGAAAATTGCAAAAATTTGCAGGTTTATTGTGGAACTTGAAAAATGCGGCAGCAAGACCGCGATTTCCAGGGGGGGCCAGAACAAATTTTTTTTTACATCAAGTCAGATCGCTTTGGTGTAGTGGGTGAGAGTCAAGTGTGATGCCCAGCCATGGAACTATTCTTTTGTAGGAACAATAAAGGGAACTACAAAAACAAATGTGTCACAACACGGTGGAATCAGCACTTGTCAGTTTTTCGACATGCAACATCATCTTAAAACTTGTTCAATTGTCAACTTTCAAGGGAAAAAAATGCAAATCCATCTTGAACAGAAGTCAGGATATTTGTGATTGAAGGAGGCTGTGGTTGCCCGGATTCAGAGGTAAAATTAGCGTGAAAATGGTGGTCAAAGTTTGATGATTTCCACAGCTTGAGAGTCCTTGGAAATTGAAAATTTACATTCTTTGTGCCTTTAATCAATGTTTTTTCCCCAGTAAAATCCACTCAAAACTTTATTTTTAAATGGACACAAAAAGGTGTTGGACCAAAAAACAAAAATTCGACAGAAACTACCAAACTGGCAAGAAAATGAGTGTATCTTCAAATGAGATATTTTGACAGGCGCCTGATTTCACCGCGATGCCTCACAAATGTTGCTCTACTCTTCACTCTCATTACTCAAGCAAGACTTTTGCTAACTTCAACACTTAATCTAGAATTTTGCTGACTTGAACACTCACTTCAGATTTTTGCAGACCCAAATACTTAATCAAGATTTTCACTGACTTAAACACTTACTCTAGACTTGCTGATTTGAACACTCCCTCAAGATTTTTGCTGACTGGAACACTTACTCTACATTCTTGCTGACTTGCACAAAATGATCCACATATTCCGTCCGTCCAAGCAACTCCACAAAGTCTTCGTCATGAGTAATTACCACCAGCTGGAAATGTCTCTGGGAACTTCGCTCTTGGATGATTCTGAGACAGACAACAAGGACAACAGGTCACAACACAGAAATGAGCTCATGCGATGAAACTCAAGCAAAAGAATTAATAGTAATAGTCACAGAGTGACTTATCATGACACGTCACAGTGAAGACAGAGCAAGGTAGGCACTTGTTACAGTGACGGCAGAACAAGGTAGCCACACATCACAAAAAGGGTAGAACAAAGTAATCATACGTCAGTGATGGTAGAACAAGGTAGTCATAAAGTTATTGCAGAAAAAGTTCAGACCTGCAACTCTATGAAATCTAAAAATCAGGATTTTTGAGTAAAAAAATCAGGATCTGGTGAAAAAAATCGGGATCAACGGCAAATCAGTCATAAGGGACACTGGGGAAAGGGGGGGGGGGGGGGGGGTGTGTCTCCTGGTTCCCTTTTATGAGGCAAGTATACAAAACAAAACTTTTGCAGGAATAAGTTCACGTTTGGGCCTCTAAATAGAGGGAAAACTGAAAGACAGCTATATGTACTCGAGTCGAAGTTGGATAGACTGGGGGAGCACAGGTTGCAACAATGCTGAAACTCTCGTAGTCTTGAAAATAGCTGGCACATAACTCTAATCATCCATGCAAAAAGCATGCGTTTTCATACAGTAACAACGTTTGACTTCCATCGCATATACAATCAAGGCACCCCCCCAAAAAAAAAAATTTTAAAAAATCGCGCGAAGGTTGTTCATTTTTTTTTCTTATTCCTTTCCCCTCAGTTAGTATCTGTATCACGGCACGCGCAATAAACCCAATTGAAAAAAGAATCGGATGCAACAGACGCAACGACAAAAAATCAGGATACTGGCGATCGAAATCGGGATCCTTGAGATTTGGGGCAAAAAATCGGGATATCCCGATTAAATCGGGATGAGTGTCAGGTCTGAAAAAGGCAGACCAGCCAATCTATGAAATCTAAAAATCAGGATTTCAGAGTTAAAAAATCAGGGTCTGGTGAAAAAAATCGGGATCAAAGGCAAACCAGTCATAAGGGGAACTGGGGAAGGGAGAGGGGGGTGTTCCCGGTCCCTTTTATGAGGCAAGCATGCAAGACAAAACTTTTACAGGAATAAGTTCACATTTGGTTCTCAAAGTAGAGGTAAAAACTGAAAGAGAGCATGTACTCGAGTCGGAGTTGGATAGACTGGGGGAGCCGCGGGAGCGCAGGTTGCAGTGATGCTGAAACTCTCGTAGTCTTGAAAACAGCTTTCACATAACTCTACTCTTCCATGCAAAAGGCGCCCATTTTCATACAGTAACAACGTATGACTTCGATCGAATACTCAAGGCATTCCCCCACCCAAAAAAAAATATTATTAAAAAAATAAAAAAATCGCGCCCAAGCCGTACATTGATTATTTTTTTCTTATTCCTTTATCCTCAATTAGTACACGTATCACGGCAAACACTTAAAGCCTAGGTGTAAAAAAAAAGTACCTCCACCCCCTCCCCCCTGTCATCCCATACTTGTTAAATCCCGAAAAACACCTCGCCCAATGCGACCGGTGTGAATGAACTTTGTTGATCCCGACAACCGACAGTCCCCGATACGCACTACTCACACGAGGTCATGTCACGAACAAGGGTTTGAAAGTTCCACTGACATGTCTCGATAATGGGCCCGACTAACCGCAACTCCGATGAAGCCTGCTTTTCTGTCCCCGTTGGGCCGCGTTTTTCGCGTAATTCCGCAACGGATGACTAAAGGGAAGTAATCACCGTAATAAGTCTCATTTAAAAGATATGTTGGTTATTTCCCTTGTTAGAAGATCTTGGCTAGCCTATTGTTATGGTGGGCGAGGGATTTTGTTTCTTCAGCATGTCCAATTTTCCAATCCATCAAAAGTTGTTCTCGAGTCTCCTGATGTTTCATGTTTGACAGGTGTCCCTGGTTTTAGTGATGTGCCAGCATCAGAGGTCCAGATGTCTTCTTTTTTTTTTTTTGTACATTTTTCTTTCCTCTTTGGATCTACAGCTGAAAGTTACAGAGATTAAATTTTTTTGGTTTTTTTGACTGATGCGTATTGTTTTCTTTCCAAATACACAAGAGATAACTGATACTAATATGCTCTGATTTCAATTTTTCTGTACATAAAACATGAAAATTCTTCTTTTCAAAAAGGGCAAAACATGTCGCAAACGGCATTACGGTAACTTGCATAATTTTGCATTTTTCTTGCATAATTTGGCCATCTAGATTTGCATAATTCTACGGGGACAGCTTTTTAAAGCAACAGCAAAATAAGGAACAGATTATTCTTAGGCCTATGTCATAATTGTTACAGTAATCAGGCCACCATCGGAGAATTCGGGGTAACAAAAGCAAAAGTAGATCTTGAGCGTATCCAAGCTGGAATTCAAAGTCGATACTACTTCGATTCACAGAATTCTATAAATATGTTCGTGAGTCAACTACAGTCAAACCTGTGTAAGACGGCCACCCATTGTCAAGAAAAAAAGTGGCTGTATAAGACAGGTGGCCGTCTTAGGCAGGAACACGAAGAAAACAAACTATTCCCATCTGAGGTCCCAATCGAAAGTAGCCGTATTGCTGTTGTTTGTGTCGTTGTTGGTTTGTACTTTGTTTATTATTTTTATTTTGTTGCTGATTTTGCACACGGATGACAATAAAACGAAATGGAAGACCGAGTGCCAAATTAAAACAAACACATGGGTCGCCACCACTCGGAGCACGAGCGACGTTTCTGTCACAAGTTCACGTTGACGTCCATTGTTACTTCGCTACAGACTGGGTAAACAGTGACCACTCACCTCACTTACGATTAGAGTATGAGTTCTGGGCGGGGCATATGGGTTATGAGGGATCACGCGCTTACCTCACCATAAGTTGAATATTGGTACCTATTGGTCAACAGTGGGAGGGGCCTACGCAACTTGATCGGTTGGAGGGACTACCTAACAATGACAGGTGCTTGGATTATTATGACGGCTCGCCCACAACGCCAGAGGCCAATGCACAATTTATGACAAAACTTAACGGAGTCACTAAGGTGGCCGTCTAAGACAGGTGTTATTGCTTGGTAAGATAGGGGTTGTGTGTTGAAATATGGTGACCGCGGCAGCGTTGGACAGGTACCCGTTTTACACAGTTAAATTATATAGAAAAAACGCAAGGAGGGGGAACGGAAAGTGGCCGTTTGTACAGGTGGCCGTCTTATAGAGGTGGTCGTCAGGGCAGGTTCGACTGCACTAGATCCGGCATTGATGTTTTAGAAAAAAGCATTCCAAGTGTAGAACAAGGTTGTCACACATCACTGTTGGGAAAAAAAAACAAAACAAGACAGACAGACAATATAGGGGAATTCTAGAAGTAGGACCAACCAGTGGCACCCTCCAAACACCCGCAAATAATAAATAATTTTTGGTGTTTTAAAGCCCTCACTAACATAATTTCGATAATTTTGTCAGCATTTTACAACACTTGCAATACATTAAAGTAATACAAGAGCCGTAGATCAGAGGTTTTACTGTTACAAGAGAGTTACAAACACAAAAAAGGAGGATTCGTTAATTGATTGAGTCGCTGTTTTACGGCACTATTGACTCAGTTTTGGTCATTTAAGTACCAATAGGTTTCACCGCAACAAATCTAGGATCAGTCGTGTCTTAGCAAGAGTTTTTCGGAGCTCGCAACAACAAAAAAAGGAGAAGAGATAACGAGGACAGACGTTTGATAGGAAATAAGGAACAAACCACACCAGAGCACCCACTAACCATCTACTTTGATCATTTAAGAGGCGGACTTCCCATCCTGCCTGTCAGGGCAAGCCGGGGATGACAGGGATACTGCATCCCAGCAGAAAGATCTGGAATCCGACTTAATTCTCCTGCGTGCAAAAGCGAAGGGCCTGACCACTACACCACAGGAGCCCGCAGTAACGGAAAAAAGATGGAAAAACTTAAAGAAAAAAGAAGACAAAGAAGTTTGGGACTGACCGGACAAGAGCAAACGCCAAACTCTCAATGTTGGAGCGGTCAAGGTTTGTGGTGGGTTCGTCCAGGGCCAGGATTCCACAGTTGACGCAGAAAGTCTCAGCCAGGGCCAGTCTGATGATGAGAGAGGCCAGAACCTTCTGACCAGCGCTGCATCGACCTCTCATGTCGATGGGGATCCCGTTCTTGATCATCACCACACGATAATTGTAGTTGCGACGCGTCTTGATTGTCGCAGAACCTGAAGTAGCTGCGTCGTCATCTTCTGAACGGACCTCGATAGTCTCGATATCGTTGCCCATGTAGGTATTCTTCCACAGCTCTCTCACGATCACATTGATCTCCTCCATCTTTGTGTGATGGTATCTCATAATAGCTAAATCCATAGCCTTGTAGTATTTCTGTAGATCCCCGTTAGCAATTTCCAAAGTTCTGTTCTGTATGACCATGTCTCTGTATTTCTTATCTGCGTCTTTGCAGATGTCAGAGTTAAGCTCTTTCTTTGTTGCTTTGATCTGGTCCTTAAAGCCTTGCTGTCTCCCTGTGGCTCGATGAAGATCTTCTCGCATTTTATCTTCCTCATCCATAAGATTCGTCCGCTCTCGTTGCAGATTCTTAATGTCCAAATCTCCCAGCTTTTGCCGAACTTCTCCCATTTTCTCTTCCACCCCCCGCAAGTCTTCCTGCTTTTTATGCAGAGTCATAGTGTCTTCCAGTGACCTTTTCTTGATGTCTTGTCTGGTCACCTCCTCCCTCAGTTGGTTGACTCTCGCCTCCAGGTCCTTCCTCTCCTCCTCCTTCCTTTCCTGACTACTCCTCAACTTATTTTGTTTTTCCTTACATTCTGTAAGATGTTGAGCCTTATTAGACTGCTGGTAGGTTTTTACCTGTCCATTCAGCTCCCTTATGGCCAACCCTTTATTCTTCACAACATCTACATCCGCCCTCGCTTCTTCCATCATTTTTTCTTTCTGCTGGGTCAACTTATCTTTTTCTGCAGCAATTTTGCCAATCTGAGTTTCTATGGGCTTGAGCTGAGCTTTGGCTTCTTCAATGTCTCTCAGGTAGGTGGCGTTGTCGCTGGTCAGGGTGACTTTCCTTTCCTCCAACTTAGTCTTCTGCTGCAACTCCCCCTCAATGGTCAGTTTCTCCCCTGTGAGGTCGTGAACTCTTGTCCTGAGCCTAAGCAGTCTGTCCTGGTGTCCACTCAGCTTGTCTCGCTTGTGGTCAAGCCCACGGTTCACCCCATCCAGCTCTAGCTGCTTTTCCTCCTGGAGGGCGATGACATCATGCACTGACCGCGTGGCGCCTCCTGCTGGCAAGAGAGCTCTTTGTGTCTCCACCTTACGCTGCAACTCCCGCACTTCCCCCCTGTAGCGATCCATGGACACAACATCGGAGTGAAGCCCCTTTGCAATGTCAAGGTCCACCTGCAGCGACATGAGAGCGTCTTCCTTAGCTTGTTTCTCCTCCTTCAACCCCCGCACTTCCCCTTCCACTTTCTTCAGCGTCACCTTGAGGCCAGGGATGTCTCTGTCCTTGAGGGCAGTTGCTGTCTCTCTGACAGCCTTGAGCTGTGTCAGCTGATCGTATCTTTGCTGGAGTCGCCCCAAGCTCTCCTCCACCCTCCTCATGTTTGCAGGGACCCTTCTCATGTCATTTTGCAGCTTGAGGATAAGTTCCCTCGCCTCCTGCTCCCGCTGAAATCCTCGACGGCACAGAGGGCAGTCTGGTTTGGTCTTTTCCAGCGCTCGGATGTACTTTTTGTACATGTGCTCCACTCCCAGCATCGAACCCTTGTCCTCCTGCTCCTGGTTCAGCTTTTCTTGTACCTGGAAAAACAAAACAAAACAAAAAGTTTTTGATCACTGATAACTTAAAACAGTGCAGAGACGCCAACCACAGAAAACCAAAATGAGTATTGGGAAATATGAAAATGTGTATTTTCAGGGGAAAATGTGTATTCTCCACGACCGACCGACCAACCAGTAAAATGTTCAGGGTGTCCAGCAATATTTCCTGAAAAAATTTACTAGCTCAACAGCTCGAAAAAGGGAGCACACATGAGTACAATAAAGATGTATCCAGTCAACAACATGTTAGTGTTCAATATCGTACTGGGGTCTTGTTTGACATAAGTATTTCAGTCTGTTATAATATTTTCCTCTCATTATTATTATTAAAAAATTAATCCTGTTTTGAGCGTTCCGAAGGGCCTAGAACAAGAACTTCGACTATCAAGAACCAGGCAGGGTGTCATGATTCATATTATGAACTGACAGACTCAAATTATTGCTCAAACTCAGAGAAGAGCAGTGAATAACTTGAATGGCTAAAGTAAACCCGTGCACTGTGAGAGTTGTAACAACTGTGGGAGGGCAAGATGTAGTGACACTGAAAATCTGTCCGTCTTGAACAGAAAGCTACAACATATACTGTAGGTATAATTTACTATCACCCATCTAATGACACGCGAATATTTTATTTCAATTACACAGACTTGCGAAGTATGAAAGGTCCCGATTCCGCACACGGCTTGCACTAACACGCGCTTTGCAGAGAGCTCTAATCAAAATTTTGAAATTTGCCTCCAAGTTTTT